CTTAGGAAGTTATTTAGTTATTTACTCAAGATTAGTAATTCTTTCGACACATCGCTATAATAACTAATTACAATTAGAATCACTTTACATGATATTAGAATGTTTCGAATACTGCAGGTGTCATCTCAGAACATCGCAAAAAAACTTTGTTCATCGACAGCAAGTATTGCCGATATAGTTATTTTGCCGAAATACAAAATTATCGAGTTTCGGCAATGTGAATTTCGACGGAGAACATACTAACCAATACCATCACCCATCAGGTCTTAATAACAATAATTCAATTTTTTATTATCTATCAATATTACAGCTCTCACAATGTACACTACAGTAAATATATTGATTATCCTATTGAGACTTTAGTGTTGAGCAAATTTTAGATTTCTGGTCAACTTTTAGCTTTTGAAAAGAAGTAACATTATAGCATCAGTGCAAGAATGTAATGACTATTTTATTACGAAACATAAAACCCAAACTCTCGAAATTTAGATTTTTCTCGATATTGGTACATGTCCATACCATTTTTTTTATAAATCTTTTCTTTTGTTTAAAATGTATACTTTAGCAGGACACTTATTTTAAGTAGAATAACTGTCTGTATTCAAGTCTAATGAAATACCACATATCTGTTTTTTTTCGCTTATTTAAAATAGCTGACACTACTGTCGTGAAATAAAGTAATGAATACCTTACGAAACTCTAATAGTAGAACTTAACAAAAAAAATTGAGAATACTAGAAATCCATATTGTCTTTTATTATAATACATATCGAAGGTTCTATTCAATACTTTATTACCATCGAAAAAATAAATAATAATTTATAACTAAAAGAAAATTTGTTAAAACGGATATATTTCGAGTTATGTAGGTAAAGTTCCACAAGGATCTCATATTTCTATAGTTTTCAAAAAATATTTTTGAGAAGTTTTGCTACTGCACATTTACATATGTGTTCTCCCGTTTTAATCCACATACTCCAAGATTGGTTTTACTACTATCGCCTCGCAATCATTTGTATAGATTTAATATACATGGTAGCTCAAAAGTCACTTGGCTATTTTTGATTGCGAACAACTTTGAATAGAAATAAGCACGAGAGATGTAATTTTCACTGTTGAAACGAGTAGACTTGAAAGCATTGAACCATATAAGAAACATGTTATTTAACAACATTTTAGGAGGGTTTTGAAAAACCGAGGTTTTCGAAGTTCTTATATCATTTTGAATTCTGAGTACATCAGTTTGTTTAATGTTGGTTTTTCAAAAACCTTCCAAAAACTTATGAATATGATGTTTCTTATATGGCTCGATGCTTCTTCCAAGTCTTTTCTTTTCAACGATGAAAACGGCAGCTGTCTTTTGTTGTTTCTATTAAAAGTTATTTGCAATGAAAAACTGCTTTGTGGCTTTTGAATCACATTGTAGAAAAGAAACATTGCTTTTTAGATTTCTTTTTAATACCATACTTTCTATAATTAGTTATCAAAACGATAGTGAAATCTTTGTTAAATACTTATCACTTCATAAATCATTGACATATTAGTGACAATGATCTTCATATAAACAGCACACAATCAAATACACAAAAAATAGAGTGATTTTAATTTAAAACTATTCTTTAGTTTAGATTCTCTTTTTATCAAACAAGATTTGTAAAAAAAAAAAAAGACTATACACTGGAATCGTATAAATAGTATAATTAAATGTCGACAATCTAAAGAGATCATTCAAAAATTAATTAAGCATCATATGTACATATAATTAATATTCCAGAGAGTCGAATTTTGATATTCATGAAAATTTAAATTATTGCCAGATCTGAACGTAGATTGCCATTAAAGATTTAATTTTTTTCATTGGCATACTAATGATGAAAACTTACCGAAATACTTATTTGAATTTAAAGACCCGATATTTTTCATCACGTATATATCTATACTTCAAATATCTTTCCCCCGTTCAGTATGTCAAAGATCTAATAATAGGATCGAAGCTTATGAAACATTTCGTATATTTGCATTTTACAAACAAATCAATAAAAGTATTACATGAAGATCAACGAAGGAGTTTTGTGATATGACTGTGTTTTTGATTAATTATCAAGCTAAATAAAAGAATAATAATTTAAAATGATACATTGTTATAATTCTACTGACAGCTCGGTTTTATAAAATTAACTTCAAAAACATCAAGCATAAAAAATGAGTTAATACTTAAATGGCCAAATTTTCATGATAAGCTTGAATGATAGTCAAAAAAGTTGCATAAGCAGGAAATTAGTGTTTGAATGTAAAATTCGAAATATACGCGTAGAGCGTAAAATGTTCTATCCATTGATGCCTAATATTTTATAGTTAACATTGAACTTGATGAGCACAAACTTGCATGAGTCATGAGGATGTCACCAGATAATAGCGGTAGATCTCGGTTAAGCAGTAAGGTACTCGTCAATCTTTCCGATATTCGTCAACAAGAAAAAGCTTTTTTAAAAAAGAAGTTCACATTTTTGAAGAATGAAAAATTTTCTTCGAAATGAGCTTTGAATAGTGTTTTTGAGCAATATTCCCTTCTTAAAAAATAGAAAAACAAAATTTTACATTATTCATGGGCTACTTGTTGTAACTCATCAAGGCAACTTGATTGAAAATTTTGAATAATATAACCTGGAGAAGAAAGAATTCAGCACATTTTTATTGTTTAGCCAATATTTTCACTATTCAAAGATAATTAACAGCTGTTTTAACAACTATTTAGTGCAGAACTTAACGGTGTAAATTTTGGTATAAATGTCCAATTAATAAAAGTTTGGATCATTTTTGATTGCTAGGTATCTCATGAGAAGAAGTATAAAAAAAAATGAACTTCATTTCAAAATAGATTATCTTAATGAAGTTTTCAGAAAATTTTCAGTTTTAATCAGTCATAATGTTTATTACTTATAAAAAAAATTAACTATGAAAGAGAACTTTGGATCTGGAAAAAATTAGCGTGTTTTTAACACCAGAACATGTTCTTTTAAACAATGAGTAGTCGCTCTTTGAGCATTGTTTTATGTAGATGTCATAACATCCTAAATATTAAGAAATAACTTTGGGTTCTACTTTCCAGTCATTTTTCTGTACTGTTGTAGTTCATATTTTGAAAGTATTGTAACATTTGAAAGAGCAAATATTGCATTTAAATACAGAATTTAGTAATTAGGAATCACTTATTACTAATTAATAATCAATTACTATTTTAATATCAGAATTACTAATTTATACCAAAGTAAAACCTGTAAAATTCTCCATTGAACGTTGCATTAAACTGCTTTTAGTTATATCGTTCGATAACGAAAATATGGGTTAGCCACTAATAATGTGTTAAACTTTTTCCACCTTCTTTTGTATTGTTCTGTACCATATTTTCTATATATGATCAATGTTTTACTATGTCCAACTAGTAGTACTATTGCTTACGTTTTCTTCATCCTTCTTTTTATAGGACTTCTACTATTGAAATATTTGATGCATGACATATCGAACATCAAAATCTATTTGATAAAAATCAATATTCAGTCAATTAATATGACTTATGATGAAAACAAAAAAAAACTCGACAGTAATTGAATCGCAAAACTGTATTCATTCATATAAAAGAAATATTTCATCATTACTAAGATATATACACTCTTGGCTGACGTATGGCGTACTTTCTTTTACTATAAACGCCATTCAATAACATCAAATGGAAGAGTGATAGTGACATGCAAGGAGTCACTCATAAAGGACGCTAGGTAAAAATGGCATTTTTTGACCTAACTCTCCTCTCTATCCGTAAATGTCGAGTTTTGACATGTGCCCTCTTCCAGGACGTTCAATTTCAAAATTTTTGGTGACACACGATCTAAAGGAAGTTTTGAGATGTATGTGGTAGAAATTTTGATTCACCTTTCATTCTCTCCACAGTTCATAGCATAGATGCTAGCCTGAGATTGTCACAGGACGTATATCAATAATATCTTGTTCTAATATTTGAACTACTTCCTTATGGTATTCATAGAGGATTAAATAAAAGAATCGTGAAGATATGTGTTCAAAAAACAGATAGAAAAATAAACAAACATTTGTACTTAGCTACAACAACTGCATCGGATTTCACATTTTAATTCTACAAGGATTACGTTGATAGCTTTTTAAGAAAGAGTCTATTTCTTCTAACATACTACTTTTTTTGTTGTAATAAAAATCACTTCCGCAAAAAAAAAAACTTTGATAACGACAAATGAATCTTCACAAATGACTCAATGGCTAGAGACTACTGGCAATCTTCTCTTCTATTTTTCTGGACGTTCTTTATCAATGATGTCGCAAATCAGTACGTGAACTTATTCCATTTTCTAAAGCAATCACGCCATAATAAAAGTCATATGTTAGAATTGATCGATTTATTTGTAAGAATCTAATATCTATTGCGAATATGGTGAATAATCGTCGTAGTTGCCTTTATTTTCTTTTTAGTGCAGATACACAAAGAAATAGATTTACGACGTTATTTACACGCATACAATAAGTGGATGAAAGGAAGAAAGTACTCATTTTGTCCTCAACGGCATTTTGTAATAGAATAGAGAAAAGAAAAAAAAGTGTACTTCGTTCTTTATTTCTATATTATCACTCTCCATATTACAGCAGTATGCAAACAACGGCGAAAAAAAAGGTTATAGCAATAACAGAACTACATATCTCAGCGAACGAATGGTTTTGAGCAAGGGTACATTTATCATCCGACCAGAGAACAATGCAAACTGGTCACATGAGCACACAATTAAAACGACGAAATTTAATATATAAGGCATGCTTTCAGTGACTTACCCCCGTCGTGCCTCTTTTCCATTTGGACACCGATCTATAAATACCGTCGATGTGCTCACTCCTTCTCAGAAAAAAAAAATATTTATAATAAATTTATCTCTTCGATCAAAGTTAGTCGTTATTCTTTGAGAATAACAATCTCTACCATGAAATCGGTAGATAAATATTTGGCATTTGGTTTTTAATTAATACATATTTCTTTTAACAGTTAAACTTTGCTTGTTGTTTTGACATTGATGGTGTTATTACAAAAGGTCCGAATTTCATCACAGTTGCTAAACCAGCTATTCAAACATTAATTCAACTCAATGTGCCTGTTGTATTTGTTTCAAACACATGTATGATAGAATCAGATAAAGCTAAACAATTATCAGCTATACTCGGTGTTACTGTAAGTTAATTTTTCACATGTTTGAACTAGATTTTATATAAGGTTTAATTAAATACAGATTCATCCTGAACAAGTCGTTCTTGCTCAAACACCGATGCGTACATTAACAGATTATCATAATAAACATGTTCTGGTTTCTGGACAAGGTGCAGCTGAAGAAATCGGTAAAATGTATGTATTCTAATTTAATCTATAAATAAAAGAAAAAGTTGTACATTTATTATTTTTATTCAAAATAGGATTGGTTTTAAAAGCATAACAACCATTGAAAAAGTTTGTGAAGCATTTCCAGAGTTAGATATGGTTAATCATATGAATCGAGCTAAATTAGTAAGTAAACAAAAGCAAAACAATTTACTTTATTTTATATTTATTATGTATTTTAGAGTGAAATGATTAGCACTCAAGGTCTTGTTCATGATGAAAATTTTCGTCCCATTGATGGTAAATATTTATTGTTTTCTCTTTTCAACATCTTAATATTTTTCTTCAGCTATCGTTTTACTTGGCGAGCCAATTCAATGGGAAAGATCGTTACAAGTTATTACAGATCTTCTTTTAACCGATGGTAATCCAGCTGTTGTACCAGCTGATTCAAACACTGAACGTGATCATATACCAATCATTGCTTGTAACAAAGATCTTGTATTTAAAGCTGCTGCAGATTTACCACGTTTTGGTCATGGTGCTTTCCTGACATGTTTAGAAACACTCTATAAAGTAAATATTTTTTTTTTTCAATTAAAAAAAAAAAGAAAATTTTAATGATTCTTTTTTTTGTGTTTCTTTGTAGAATATAAGTGGAAACGATCTTAAATATACAGCTTTTGTTGGTAAACCATTTGAAATATCTTATCAATATGCAGAAGCAGTAGCTAATAAATTGGCATTAGCTAATGGTTTACCAAAAATTGAAACAATGTATTTTGTTGGTGATAATCCTGATGTTGATATTGTCGGTGCAAATATGTATAATCATTTATTAAAACAAGGAATGCATTTAAAAACAAGTATTAGTGGTTATAATTTAATGTCGGATTCAAAATATTTAAGTGCAACAGTATGCGAATCAATTTTGGTATGCACTGGTGTTTATGATCCAAATAAACATAAACTTGATGGTAAAAATCCATGGAAATTGCCAACAACAGTTCAACTTGATGTTTTGGATGCTATTAAATATGTTCTTGCAAAAGAAGGTTTCCCATGATTTGTAAATTGTTAGAAATAGTGTAATATAAAATATTAACCCTATTGTTTTTTTTTTAATGTTTATTATTAGATGTCAGATGTTTATTTTTCTTTTTATTGTGTTTCCAATTGAAATTTGTTGATATTTTTTGATGGTTTAAAAAATTATTTGTATATATTTTTATAAATATATAAATAAAGATTATGTCAGCTTTGTTGAATTCTAATATTTTTTTTATGGTATTCAATGAAAAATAATCGCTCATAGATTTAAAATACAAGAAAAATTAGGTGACAATTTATTTCAAACGTTAACATTAACATTTAGTTTGAATATAAAAACAAACGCGGTCCCTTAGCTCAGCCGGTTAGAGCGCCGTGCTAATAACGCGGAGGTCATGAGTTCGATCCTCATAGGGACCAGATTTTTTTTTCTTTTACAAACACTTGTTCTTTTTTTTATTTGTTGCATTCTCTCTTTTAACCAAACAGTATTCATCAGTTAGGTTTTGATGAGTTTTAAATTGCGTATCAAGATTTTTTTTCTTCAATCTATAACCGACTGCAAAATTAAGAAATTCGGTAATTTTTTATTTTATTCCATTAATACAACCAATTAACAAATAAGATTTAATAAAATGTGCAACGTACGACTTTTATTTTCATATACTGATTAGCATAGATGCTTAACATGTGATCTATGAACATAGTAAATAGTTCTACAATACTTCTCTTCTTTCGCAAAACTGTTATTAATTACTTCCTTCTCGAAGTTTTTACATTTGTATTTGAAAGTGTCTCTCAGTCTATTCAATTTTATCATATTCTCTTTTTCTATTTGCTCTGTCATAGTTCTCTAAAATATAATAGTCTAGTTGAATGACATCTACAATCCAAAGTAAACACTCGTCATGTGCTATAACTTGGATATTTCGTTCTTTCAAATAAACAATAGTATCTTGTGATGTATATTCGAGTGTATTATTTTGATGACGAATCATTTTATTTTGTCTATAATCAAGAAACGACGCATAAAAACTCCCGTTTGATAAATAGTATCTATTATATGTTCGATATATTATCTATTGACAAGAACATGCTGAATCACCTTCAGTTAAATGTAACTAAAGTTCATCAATATTGTTCCCTTCAGTTGAAACGAGTACAGCCAATAGAATATATTCTTTTCATAGAAATTTTTTTCCTTTATATTGATCGTAATTCATGATTTTTAAATTACCATTTAAATAAATATTTAACACGCGGATTTGGGTCTTGATAAAAGTATACTTCGATTAATAACTCTCATATGCGTCGTCTATCAGTCAAGCGATGATAAATAACTGAAATTTTGGGTTATCTCTATCTAGTAAAGACTATATAATGGATAGATCAATCTGTTCCAATGACATTTTACATAAATAATATGATGAATGTCATGAAGAGATATATTAACACTAATATGACATATTACAAGCATTGATATAATAGTTGGAAGATGTTGCTTGTTTTTGTAAGATATAAAACAACAAATAATTACAGTTGTTGCTACATGACGTCAATGATAATATTTTCTATTTTTAACTATATTATCAGTATAATTTTATCTGTCTTACCATCTTGTGGATATTCGAACTATTAATACTTTTTCATTAAGATATATTTGATAATAGTTCTTTAGTATTAAAAGGTATATTACATAGGATATATTTATAGAAGAACATAAACATCATAACAACAACAGTAGTTTTATAGACATTAATCATTACAATAATCATCAGATCTATGCAAATTAATAACAAGAAAAAAATTCAACAATGTATAAGTTATCTAAAAAAAATAAACTAAATGAGATCAATGTCAGCATTGATTCCTAAATTCATCTAAACAAATATTGTTTTTAAGAATACATAGCAACAAATTATGAAAAATATTTCTCCGATATTGAGTCTGAAATATATAAGAAACATCTCATCTAATGAATCAAATAACTAAGCAAGAATAGTTTTTATGTATGAAATTTTAAGATCTTACAGATTTTGAATAATCATAAAAACTCATCTTGTTTTGCACTGTATCCTGTATTTGAAGTTTTATTTTTCAAAAAAACTCCTAACAAGTTATGTTCAAATCTCTTTATCTAATCCAAAAAAAAATCAAATGTTCTTTTTTTATGAAACACTTTCATAAGAAAAAGTCTTTTTTTTGAAAAGCTTGTTACAACAATCGATAGTTCAAATGATTTAATTTCGGGTATTCTTTTCTATCCAGGTCTACCTTCATATAAAGCTGTAATTTACCGTATTATATGGTTCTGTACTATGATCGTAAATCTACCTAATTGTATACGGAACAATACGATCATATGGGAAGAAAAACAGAGATTACATACGAGGACAGTAAACAAGCGTTTTCTTTCTTCGTGTACAGACATTTACCATCGTGTCAGTTTGACGTTAATAAAATATCATTCTGACTGTGTCAGTAAGCAATTCAACATTTTGCTTTAGTACATCTCACTGTATCTATTGTCTTCATTACTCGAGAAAGAACATATCAACGTCTATCAGGACGATAATTACTTTTGCCGAGAAAGTCAAAAGTAATACTGTATATTGTGGTTTCATGCCACTTGTGGTCGCAAATAGCGGTAAATTGCCGTTTGGTAGGAATAGTATTACGACTATATTTTATCATGTCGTACATAGTTGATAACAGCTTGAAAATCGAGTACCTAACCATTTATATTACATTGAAATATGCTCATCAAGCTACGCCTATCAAATGGAAAAAAAATCATCTAAAACGATGGTCCTTATTTGACCTGAGTTAACTATCTTGTTTCTGATCGATTTTTCTTCCGAGATTCTGATTTATCGTATAAATCAGAAAATAAAGATCGCATTTACTGAACACTATGTACGAATCATATTATTGTTATATTTAATTGCTTGACTTACTCTATATCTTCAAAACATTTGTACCAATAATTGACACATTGAATTAGTAATATTCATGCAACTAAATATATAACATGAAAGATCATGTAAAATTGCAAATTTAAAATTAACTACTACATTAATGTATATTTCAAATAATTGAACACAAAATGATCCTGATAATATTAGGCATTCATTCTTTAGACCCGCCTCTAAAGTCAATCTTAGCCCAAATAAATTCCAATTTCATGGAATTTTTAGCCTTATATCATGATTTTTTTCAGGAGATATTCAACAAAGAACAGTTGAAAATAATTCATTGGATAACCCAAAATTCTCTGTTGGTCTTCACATTCTGTAGACTTTTTCTTTTTGAAATAGTATGTCAAGATGAAGAACATGATCAAGTGCTTTTCTAAATTCTTACTTTTTAAAACAAGAAGATTTTAATTACTCAAAAAATGACGCTGTATCTTAACACGTTCTTTCAAACAAAAAAAAAGAAGATCATTGGCTACAATAAAGTATCTTCAATAATGGTCGGATGCACGATCAAACAGAACAGAATAAAAGATTTTCCAATTTATCTGAAAAGAAAACAAAATACAAAATAACGATTCATGTCATATATGAAAGATCAGACATCAGACTATCTTTTCATGCATTTATATCAGTTATTATATTTCTCAAGAAAATTCACTCTTTTTTAAAATGAAGATTTTAAATGAATTTTTTGATTTATCTTTTAAACTTAAATAAACATATTGCAACTATTGAAAATCTTTCTTGCTTATGCATAAAACGAGCAAATATTGCTTCATCAAAATATTTCATTGCGCCTAATAAATAAAATTGACACGTTACAAAACTCATTTACTAAAGAATACATCAATTGTTTATTTTTATATATCTTTAGAATAACTTGATATAATATGAATATTAAACTAGTAGCATAAATAACTCTTTTCACATTCAATCGTTTTTTCGTGATTCTATTTACTATAATTCTATTTTCTTTTACGCATGAATCTTATGTTGTTCTTGTATTTGGTTGTTCAGCTAAATCAATAACTATATCAATACATCCGAAATCTCTATTTGACCCATTGAAACTTCAATAACTTCATCGTATGGTTTTAATTGTTCAATTTTTTCTTACACATTGTGAAAGCATATATGAACAAAAAACAAACTAAATATGAACATAAGAAAATAACATACAAGCGATTAAACAAGATATATATTTATTTAGAATGTTTAAGAAAAATATTTCCTAATATTACCAGCAACACTGGTAATAAAAATGACTTTAGGAAAATTTACTGTTATCATATGGAGACGACATATTTAATGTTTTAAACCAAAAGTTAAAGATTTGTTATATAAAATATTAAAAACATATATGCACACATGTGTTACACTTGAGTAAACCTTACAGTAATCCTTTTTTTTTTCTTATCAACGGAAAAAACATGAAACGATACTAATGAGAAATGAAAAATGCAGAATCTGCTGCTAAATCGAAAAATTTCTTTGCTATCAAAGTAAAAGAAAAGTCAAATTCTCTTTTTTACTCATAACTTAGACAAGTGAAATCGATTTACTGTACACACAAAAAAGCTATATAAACAGTTATTCTTTATTAATCATAAATTAATATAAATACATTTTCATTGTAAAAAAAAAAAGAAAACTAATGGATTGTATAGTAAAATACAAGAAGAACCTGTTCCAATACTTTCTTATTAATAAATAAGTAACACAAACTACATGTGTAACAGACTTATACTCATTACAATAAAATAAGTATTTCTTTATTTGAATTCCCAAATCAAAAAAAAACAAATTCCTAAATTTCCCTCAACGCTCGTTGGCACACACACGTAGGTTCTATATGTCTCTGAGAAACAATCCTTCAGTCACCTCTCTGTAAACTCATTAGAGTTTTTCTGATATAATATTTCTTTTACTTGAACTTCTTATTAATATTAGAATCTATTTTAACTAATAATTGTTTATTTTTCTTTTTATTTAACAGTTAAATTTATAAGAATTGTAGAATTTATATATGTTAAGATTTGATTATAGATCCAATGTATAATGAACATCTTAAATAGCGTTCTTCTGTATTGAATTTTAAAATCGATTGAATAACATAGATTATGTAATTCACTGAATTCAATCTTTTATGATAAAATTTATTATGTTATGTAGATATTTGTATAAGCTGTTTATAAACATTTCAATTGCTTCTAAATTATTAAGCCACTTCCATAAATCGACTATTTCTTTTTTTTTTTTTTCGTTACATGTTGTATTAACAATGTAACAGCTTTCTATTTTCAAAAGATATCATTATTGTAGTGTGATGACAACACTTTGCGTGTCAACATCACTGTCAACTATGCACTCTTTTGTTTTATATGACACTAAATCTACAGAAATATCAATTAAAATTGAATATATACACTAAGAATTAATACGAATAGAAACATTTTTGTTAACTACCACTCGAAAAAAAAAGTAATATAATTCTTTATACAAATAAATTTTATTCGATTCGTTTGTTGTTGCAAAAAGACAAACATCCTATAAGCAATAAATCATGTGTAAATGTAAAAAAAACCGAAAGGTCAATAAATTTTTCTTAAATAGAAAATCTATGAACATAATTCTATTTCAAAGAATTCAACTTTTTTTTTTATTTCATTTTATTATATTTAAAATACAAAATTATTTCGTTATAATTTCCAAAATAAACAAATCATTTTTATATATTTTTTAATCATTATTTTTAAATTTAATTGCTTTTTTTTTTCTTCTCACTCTCTCTCTCTCCCATCGAATATGAAAATTTAACAAATTATTTGCCATCCTTTACACTGCTGTTACATTTTTCTATGCGTATGCACACACACACACATACACACATAGCAGGCAAGCTGTTTCGCGCTGTCGTCGTCTTTATTCCCCATTCTTTCTTTTCCTTTTCATATTATAGTGTATGTGTGTTTCTCGACGTAGAAAGACAAGCGCGGACACGAACACACATAGTCGACTGCTTTATGTTTAAAAAAAAAAAAAAAAAGCAACGACCGAGCGAGAGAGACAGGCACGTCATGTTTGTGCGTTTTCTTCTATTCACCACTGCCTGACTAGGTCACATTTCTCTCTTGTTCGTTGTTCATTCATAGTCAAAGAGAGAGCAAGGCGAGATCGTATTTATTCATTTGTTTTGTGTGTTCAAATTCAGTTGCATTCGTATATACGTTTTCTTCTAGATACATCTTCTATTATCGTATATACGTAAACTTACATACATACATATATATATTAACAATGCCTCGTAATACTTCTGGTACATCGAAGAAAGCAAGCAAAGATCCAAATGCACCAAAACGACCATTATCAGCATTTTTTCTTTTTTCACAAGATGAACGTCCTGATATAAAGAAAAAAAGTCCATCGATGTCTGTTGGTGATATTTCGAAAGAAATTGGGGCTCGATGGAAAAAAGTTAGGTAAGTTAAAATATTGTATTCTTAATATTTTCATTATTATTATTATTATTATTATTTTAGTGATGATGTTAAAAAACGTTATGAACAAAAGGCTGCTGTTGAAAAACAAAAATATGAAGCACGTCTTTCGGAATATAAGAAAAGTGGTGGTGGTAGTTCACCAGCTAAAGCAACAAGCAAAGGTGGTTCATCAAAAGCAGCAGCAGCAGCATCAAATAAAAAATCACCTAAAAAACCTGCACCAAAAAAATCAGCTAAATCGAAATCATCTGAAGAAGATAATGATGATGATGATGATGATGAAGACGATGATGAAGAAGATGAAGATTAAACAATTTATATAATCCTCTTTTTTTTTTCTTTCTTTTTTCGTGTCGAGTTATGAAAAAAAAAATTTCTTTTTTCTTTTTTTTTCTGTGTACTAATTGTTGTAGAATGACACACTTGTATGTATGAACTTGTGTACTTGTCTTGCTCTATATTTTTTTGTATACAACTCTTTATTTCTGTGTATTAACATTACTATATTTGTTCTTGTTGTTGTTTCCACTGGCAAAAGAAATAAATGATGTAGTGAAAAAAAAAATGTTTAAGATTAAAAAAAAAGACTTCTTTTATTATAAAAAATGATGAAGATGAGGAAAAAAAGAAGAAGATTTAAGCAAATAATGAAGGCAACTCTTATATGACTAATTTTTTTCAATTTATCATTCTTTTCTCTTCTATTTTTTTCATCGTTTTCACTCATTAAACTATGATGGCTATTGCAATGATGTTGCATCTTATTTTCTATATAGTTGTAACGGCAAAAATATCAAAAATTCATCCATGTTATATGGAAACTTCTATAGAAGTATTAAATATTCGTGATTGTTTAAATACTTCAATACAAATCGAAACAAGATATTGTCGAGGTTCATGTTATTCACAAGATTATCTTATTTATGATTGGCAATCTGAAGGAAAATCTTATCGACATCAACATCATATTCATTGCTGTTCACCAAATATTACAATATCTCGTGAACTAAAAGTTATGTGTAATGATAAACAACTACGAATAATCAAATATCCTTTTGTTCAACAATGTCAATGTAAATCATGTACTAATGATTGTATTAGTTGAAGACATCGTTAGAGAACAACAGCAACAATAAAAAAAAGACTTTAATTAAATTAACAAGTCTTTTCTATTTTTTCAAAGAAAAGATAAAGTAGAAACAATTAACAAAAAAAATTGTTTTGCCCCCTTTCGTATTAATACAAAGAATTAAACACAAAAAAATTTTTTTTAATACATATACATCAGCACATGTTCATTTCTTTCAAGAAAATAATAACAATATAAACAATGAAAAAAAAAACAACAACAATAGTAGATTTATTTTCATTTGTTTGTTTTTTTTCGTTGTAGTCGACAAGCGAATTATGCCAAATAGTACAGTACTAATGAGATCAAAAACAGCAAAAAAAAAATAAATGGCGATAAGAATCACAGAGATTGTATTCTTAAACAGCTATCTCATAATTTTTATTAGATCCATTCTTATTATCTTTTCTTGTTATTGATTGAGATATTGATGGTCGTTTTGGATAATCAAAAGCAAATGATTGTAATGGATGTGCTTGCCGATAAGATTCTGTGCGTAGTGTTAAAGCGCTCGTTGTTGATGTTGCATCACCTTGAACATCATTATTTATTGTATTCATTCTCGTTGTTTGTTTATGATTTGAATCCATATCAATAGGCGTTACAGGTATTGGCCGTTGACGATGGCCATGTATATCAAATATATATTCTTCATTCTCATTTATATTATCATATGAATAACGTGATGATAATGACATATTAGATGAGCTATGACGCATATTTGTTTTAGATTTTGGTTGATTTTTTATCGATTGAATTGGAGATGATGAAGGTGAAGAAGAATTTGAACTTGAACTTGATGAAGTTGGCTTTGAAAAAAAAAAAGAAATCAATGTTGAATTAAAGAAAATTATTCTTCAAGTATAGAAATCTCTATTGTTGAAATTGGATAAGAAAACAAAATAAGAATCCCGCTAGAGATGAAATCAATCGAATTCTTTCTTGATCGATACTGATCTGAACGATTAAATCGGGCTGTAGAGCCAGTCGGGTTCAAATCCGGAAGCTTTGGAACGGATCGATTCTAGTCATGTGATACGTACTAACAATGCACTAGTGACTGAATATAAGAGGTCAGAAAAAAAATATTGCGTACCTTCGGAGCAAGTATGGAGTTTCAATTAGATAATTTCATTGAGAGTATCAAAGTGCTATTTGGTCAGGTTAGGGTTCGCAAATTGTGGATCCGATGAGCTCTCCATATGACTAATTGTTGTGTCTTTCTGGTCCTGTTATACTTAAATCAAGCTCTAAATTGGTCATATCTGCTGGTGCATCACCACAATAATAACATAATAATGATGTTCAATTACTATATTGTTTTTTACTATTTATTTCTATAAGTTGGTGTACCGGTAGTAAATTGCTGATCGTAGAATAACTATCGATATGCCATCATGAAAAGACAGTCGATCGTCTAAGCGTCGAACTATCACTGATTGATTGCCGATATACTGGTCGTTTTTATTCGGTTTGAATCACATCAGTAATCTATTTATCAGGTTCGATTCGCTCTATTATCTCTTATAACTCTGTACAGTATATGCTATAATAAAGAAGCACAAATAAATCTTTGATGAGTTATATTGATTTACAATTATTCGATCTTGTTTTGATAACATAATGTGATTCCAGAGTGAATCCACAAAAGAAAACAGTAACAAGACGAATTTTTATGGTAATTTGTTTGAGTAAAAGCATATCAAAGCTCAGAAAAATGTTTAGAACGAACGGTCGATCAGGTGTTCTCTACTGGACTGAGCTGTCAGGCGATTATTATCGTTATAACTCTGAAACAAGCATTTGGTACTTTCTATAGATCTTAATTATATATTGTTGAAACAGAAATTAAGTCAATAGTATAAATCCATCAATACCAGTCGTGGAAAAATCTTTGTAGAGTTCATTTTTGAGCACTGTTATGTGGTTTCAATATTGACAAAAATAATACTCCTATTGAATAGAATCATTCAATGACTACTAGTGTTCTGCAACCCAGTCAAGTGCCAAGCAGAAAGCCTGAGTCCTTGCACCAGCCATGAAAAGAAGATGGCGGTTCCGAGTTCAGATATGATATCATATTCGATAATCAATAAGGTCTCGACGTTTCAAAACATTTTAACCTATTCAAACTGCTAATTTACATAAAAGTACAGTAGTAAAAAGCATTTCGATTTCGATTAAGCAATCTATTGTATGTGAGAACAGATCATAGCAGTCGAAATCGATAGTGTTTTAGAAAATGAATCTGTTATTAATGAAAACTTATCAACAGATGATGATGAGCCATATGACAAATTAATTGAATATATGGCAAGAGTATGGACGAAACTAAACAGTATACTTTTTCATATAAAATAATAGTTTTAAAACTGTACTGTGACTGTGAAAGTATCTGCTGGATGTTGCTTAACTCCGTTCGAGGTCGGATACAAAAAGAAGTACCGATTAGAGTCCAGTAGTGAAAACCCTTGCACACATGGACGATACTAATGACTACATGCATGAATGGAATTTTCATCGTAAAAAAAAAGCTGGTTTTTTTTTGAAATACTGAAAGGCACTTCTTAGTACACTTTTCACGCAGCTAATTATGAGTAATTTTCATATTTCGAACTATTTTTGCTTTTTTTTCCTCTTATTTATGAATGCAGAAACAGTAATTTAGATTATATGTATATTTTTAACTTACTTGTTGTACAGGAATTTTAATTGGTTTATTATTAGCTTTTGTTTTAGGTTTTGGAACTAAATAAGAGAAATAAAAACATGAATTGAATGATTAATACTAAAAATATACTTTTTTCATCTAGTGGATTAACATGAAGATTAGGCATTCTATTTTTATCTCTATTATCATTATGATGAATTTTTTTCTTTTTTCGTTGTGGTTGTTTTCTATCGTTTTCTTTTAGTTTTTCATAAGTTGTTTTTGTTTCAATTTTTTTTGTCGATTTTTTCTTTCCATTTGGTAAACGATAATTTTCATATGCCATTTTTTTAAATAATTCAACATTATAACGTTTTATTTTTGGTGCTTTAAATTGTGGATATAATGATTGACAAAAGAGATACACAAAATTTTTCAAAAGACCTTTACTGAATGCATCATGTTGACCATGAAATTTTTCTGTTACTTGTTCATTTGTTGTACGACCTTTTGCAATAAGAAATATATGAAAACTTGTTAAACCAAAAACAGGTATTGAAAAAAGACCGATTAGTACAAGTAAAATAATACAAATAATAAATCGATAATCAGAAAAACCAATAAATTTTGTTTTTGTTAAATTAGTTGATGTTAATAGGTCATTTTCATCAATTGGAACTAATGAATCATATGAATCAGTAACAAGATTTAATGTTATTATTTGATGATGACGTTCATGTCGAACGTAATATAAACAAAATATAAATATAAATATCATATGAATACAGAGTAAAAATAAAAATTGAAAAAAATAACGATAATTACGACGACCTATTTAAAATAAAAAAAAAATACAAAAGATATAAATTACTTTTCTCCTTCATTTTCTTTTGTCTATACATACCAACACAATTATTTATCCAAGGACAATGATGATCGAATGTCTACAATGTAACTCAGATTACCAAAAGGATAAAAAAATTTCCTAGGATAATATTCAAATGGGGTAAATAAATAATTTTTCGTAGCTATTATATTTTTATCTTGTGTGATTTTGTATTTAGGTTATAAGTAGATCTTTAAGATAATTTTGAAGTGATGCTTATCGTGAATTGAGATATGTTTTCATTTTTTATTTCTTTATTCTATAAAACTCGAAACGATTATTCTTAAAATAGAAATAATAGTTTGATAAACTAATGAAAGAACTATTTGAATTGATATCTGCTGTTCGAGTTCATATTGAACGTATAAGATGCGTTGTTGAAACTAGAAAAAGTTCAAAAGAGTTTGTTCTTACGGATATTCAAATCCAAGCGATGATCATTTTACTAAATTCTCGACTTAAGTTTAAGGATCAGCCATAAAGGATGTGTCTGGACATTTACTATGCACATTTCCTTTTTTCATACAACTTTCGACGAAATTTTCAAGGTTAGTTTATTTTAATGAGCATTTGAAAATAGAAAATGAACTCAATGAATCAGTTGGATATGAATACGGTGTTGAAATTATTCAAGATTATTCTATATGAACAGATAGTTATTTTTGTAGAGAAGTTACATGAGATTTTCCAGTGTCATTTGTGTTGAGCTTTATTTTTTGTTTTAAACAATTTTTAGTCATTAACATACAGTGCATTTAAAAACTGAAACTGCAACATGTTAGATATATGTTTGTTTATGAAATAAATGCTTTGTCTTCTGTATATTCTTGTAGAGTCAAAAAATGGAATTTATACCTGAGTGTATTTTATGACTGGCTCCTGACATATGCATACATCGAAAAGCCAAAAAAGCACAGTTTCGACCTAAAACTTTACTCATAGGTAGTTCTAATGATTCATAGAATATCCTGAAATTGGCAACCGAAAAGAATGTTTTTTTTTTTGTGAAGATATGGAATTTCCAAGTCGAATTGGTTGTTGTGTCATGCCTATGGCAAACGATTATTTTTTGAAATTTGATATCTTAATATAAGAACATTCTTTTCAGATGAAATTTTCAGAACATTTAACGGATCATTCGAACTATGTACGAGCGAAAATTAATGTCGAAATTCTGCTTTTTTGAGGTTTTTCGTTAAATACCTAAAGCCGAGTTGAAAATTTAGTAAAACACAATGATGTCAAATATAGTTCTACACAGAGTCAACTAAATCTCTGGCTGAAGATTCAGTCTTCACATAAGAATTTTTAGAGTAGTAGACCTCGTTCTTTGACATTTGTTGTACAAACTGATACATTTTTGGGGTGCCAATAATGTCGTACAGAAGCATCTCAACACGAAACAATGTCGAAGTCAAATTTAACTCCGATTTTCTTTATGTTCATAGGCATTGATGAGATGTTCTTAGAACCTCCACAATGCATCTATTTGTCCAATGAATATCAGAAAACAAAATCTACTACTCAAAAAAGTTCATATATTGAAACTGAATTTTCGACAAAAAAAGTTTTGTTGAACCCGAGCAGGTCTCCTACTGTCAGTTCTGAAGTATAACTCATCGAAGCTCGTGCCATTTTTAACGTACTATGCTTTGGAGTTGGCAGCCTTGGTAAAACGACCATAACTCGGTTCCAAAGATTCATGAGAACAAACCATTTTAGCCTTTTCTTCGTCTTATCAAGACGTCTTTTGTAGGCCCAATATGAACTCAAATTTCTTAACCTAGTCTTTCATTGATTTCTTTTCTGAACTTTTAAAATTCAAGACATGAGTAGTTTTTTTTCAAGTATGTATTCTAAACTGATTTTTTTTTTCTGTTCTATTCTGACAAAATTCATCAACAATCTTCTATTTTATTGCGATAAAAAAAATAATCTCATAAAAAAATAAAAACAATTTTTCAATAGGCTCTTTTCTTTTTTTTGTTTTTGTTTTTGTTTTTCAAACAACTCGACATGAAACTTACATCAATACATCGTTCACAAGTGGAACAATGTGAGCATCGTGGTGGTCGAAAAAATTTACACGTTCGACAGTATTTCATATGAATTAATCCTAAAGAAAATTTAAAATATTAATATTCATAAAAGATATAAATGTTACCTTCTTTAATATGAACAGTACGTGGTGGAGGTTCATATGGATCATCATCATCATCATCTGTATCAACGACTCCTTTTCGTTTTAATGGACGAACATAAAAACTTATATTTGTATCTTCTTTTTTCATTGATTGTTGATAAACACCCTAATAAATTGAAAGAAAAAAAAAAGTCATCTTTTGTTTTTGTCATTAAGTAGAAAAAAAAAAGCAGAACTCACTGGATCCATAAATGTTGCAAGAACAAAATTTGCACAAACAAGAACAAATAAAATACAATGTAAAATAAGAATTGGTAAAAATGATGGTAAAAGATTTATAATCTCTGGTAAAATACATAACCAATAAGTGAATGAAGTACTAAGCAAAAGAGCCCATGTAAATAATGCTGGAAGACGTTCTGTTGTACATAATTTTTGATCACGACGATGATGAGATTTTAGTTTTGTTTGTGCTTCAACATCTGACACATATGATGATTTTGTCACCATTTGCTGTCGTGATGCTTGTGGTGACATCGACACACATTCGATAGTCAATCTGAAATAATCGAACTAAATCGATCTAAAATTAGACGATATAATAAATGAGATTATTTTGCTTGTAGAGATGTAAATGTATTAATCATCTTTATAGGCATGTGTTAGCTACCATTAATATTATTCATGCATGTTGCAAATGGTAACGCCGATGTTTGGAGGTCATGTAATTATAAGAGCACAAGCGAAAAATAAAAAGAAAGAGAAGATTTGTATAAGACGCACATACAACATTCATAAAAAAACGAAAAGAAGAACGAATAGATTTTTTTTTTCTCTATTGTGGATGCAAAAGGAAAGAGATGATGAAAAAAGAACACTTCCACTTTTATGTTATGTTGAATGAACCATATGTGACATTAAAAAGAAAGAAAAGATTATCAAACGAAGAAGTATATATATATCGACGGAAGACAAGTAGCAATTAGCTGTTGAAAAGAAACTAATTTTATAGAATAACAGACAAGAACATCACAGTGCTGCAATTATGTGAATAGAATAAATGTTACAGATGTATTAATAGGACTGCTATTTTGTTCTCTGAACCAAAAAAAAATAAAATAAACCTATCAAGAGGATAAAAACAAAAACATTAACATTATTTCATCAATCATAGTCGAGAGAGTAATTCAATAACCAAATATACTTGAAAATAGAAAACAAAAATAAATGACATGAAAAGATTGATGAGAATTATATGTACTTACGTAAACATAGCCAATATGATTAAAATATTCCAAAGACCAATAAATATCCGAAAGTATTGAAGACTTGTAAGGAATTCACGTATTTTATCACCTAAAATTAACCAATAAAGACAACAAAAGGGCTTCCAATCAGTTCAATATTGGCTCCTTAAAAAAGTCATAATTTTTCTTTTCAAATGGCAAAACCATAAAAGCTCATACTTATTTCTATAAATAAAAAAAAAAAAAAAAGAAAATCACCATAATTAGTATCTCGTATATTGACAATAATTGTCTTCAAACTAAAAGGCATAATTTAGCATTCTGTAAACTCGGACTCAGTAATTATCAATAGTTTTAAGTTAGTAATAATTATATCATCATTCAAAAAATGCCTTTAAAAGAAATTGTTTTTTTTTTTTTTTAAAAAAAAAAAAAATATCATTAATGTTTTTACTGTGGCATATTTATTGTTATTCTCCGAGCGGTAATCAACAGTCAGTATACCATCATTACTTCTGAGTAGTGCAAACAAACTTTCAACATCAATTGAAGACTTTAATTAATAAATCATTCAATATATTGTTTGCTTTTCTTTTTGAAAGAAACAATTTCATCTACAATCTTTCTTTTCTTTTGGTGCTTCATCTTTAGTTTCAGAATAAATAATTCTCCAGGTTCATACTATTGTTTCAACCTATGCTTTTATAATAAAATAGATTCTCTTTATGAATAAAAGAAACATCGAGATAAAATAGTATAAAAATAGTAAAATATATTAAATTACATAGTATTCTTCAAAAAGAAGTTTCCACTCAACTTGTGTAAAAGCCATAATTTCTGTGATGCTATTCTATTATGATTCTTAAACATATTAAGAATTATGTGCAAAATTTTAAACTTTGAAATCTTGCTTTTTGTTGTATATGCATATATCTGTCAGATTAGTGTTACAACATTTTCCATATGTATTTTGAATTCTCAGTAGAAAAACTTCAACATATTATTTTACATGACTAGTATATAGCTTTCATATGCAAGGAAAGTTGTATGTATTTAAGTTGATCAAGAGGGACAACTTAACACTTTCAGGTGGTATACTAATAAATTTTTTTTTATTAATTTCAATAGAGTAATTTTCAACATCAATGAAGTAACTCTCTCAGGCAATTTGTTAAATGATGTAATCGAAAAAATTTTTAATGCTATTTCAACAATAATTGAAATTGATTCTCACTGAGCATACGAATGAATAAAGTACATTTTAACCATCACATTTCGTTCGTTATTATTTCAATTATACTTGTGTGTTTGTGTGTCGTACTCAATGAATGCATTGTCAACTCGTTAATGATTAAAAATAGTTTCATATTTAATTGCGTCGTTATTGACTGAATAGATTTGGACGAATCAATGTCTGTCTCGTATTCTATATTATCATTAGTAATAGATCACATTTTTAATTATCATAGTGATAAATTAAAATAGAATAGTCGACAATTGGAGTGTTACAAACTAATTCATGAACAATCAAAGTTCATTGAAACAAAAGATCAGACAATTGAAATGTACCAATTCTTTTTTCATAAAATCTTCTTTTATTAAATCCATATAATTATAATCTAGTAAACGAAAGCTAACCTGTCAATAGTTGATTAGTGTCAGTTTTCAAACTACATCAATCGATAAATGAATAAAAGACAAGCCTTTAACATGTCAGTATTCACCATGAATATGTGAAGTGACATTAAACGTGGAATTTTGTGACAGACTATTACATGAAATCACATTCAAATCTAGCATATTCACTAAATTTTTTTTTTTTGTAATCTGATTTAATCGAATACACAATTGCATTGCTCATTAGAAGCAACATTAAAACCAAGTGTCGAATAATTGTTTAAAGGGCAAGTGAAAAAAAAACAACTTTGTATAGCGTCCCTTCTATTATACTTTATTTCATCATATTTCAATATAAAACACATAATTTTAAAAAAAATGTTAATTACATGTTTTTTTTTTTCATGCATTATTTTCTTACCAATAGATGGATTTTCAACTATGAAACCAATTTCTTTACGTTTCCTATCAAGAACAAAATATATTAAAAAACAAACAAGCAAAATTCAAAGACATACAATTTAAAATTAATAATAGCACTTGCATTGATTAATAAAGTACTAAATAATAATTCTTAATAAATATATATATATAAACTTATTTTTGAAGAAACTCACAAAATAATAATTATTGTTGAAATCATCTAAAAGCAAAAATAAATTTATAAATATCAATCACAAATCATACATCATTTTCATAAGTAAATAAATAAATATATCACGCAGTATACACTCACAAACGAAAGTTTTTTTTTTTTCTTAAATTTGGACAATTAAAAAGGAAAAGCGAAAAGAAACAGTATACAATAATGTTGACTAGATTTTGTTTTCTTTTTTTGTTTAAAAAAAAATTGAACTTGAGTATTTTGCATTATAGAAAAACATAATCATCGGAAAGTGAATGTATTGGGTCATTGGTATTCTCATGCAATGATCGACCAGCATCATCCCATGAATCACGATGTGTACTATTACTTATTGTTGAATTAGTAAGTAAATTTTTTCCATTATTAGTAACTTTTTTTGCTAATGATAATGGTGAACTATTTGCCGATGATAATTTAGTTACACGAAGAAAAACATCTTCGTCGTCATTTAATGTTGGATAATCACAATTTAATGTACGTGTATGACTTTCTTGAAATGTTCCACGTTCTATACGAAATATTGGACATGTACGTCGATCATCAGACGCCATATGGCATACGTGATTCCACTACAAAATAGAAAAATAAATAATAATAATAATAATAATAACATGAGTTTCAATTTCGAAGATTAGAATAATATTTCTAAGTATTCTTGAAAAAAAACTATCACAAAAACAATAATCAGATTTAAAGATTTTAGAATTTCGATGTATTGATTTATTTCAAACGTTAATATGCCAATTACTTTGACATTTCAGCATTAATTAGTGATAATTTCAAAAACTATGATAATTAAGAATTCGGAATTTGTGAATAATTTTTTTGATCACCACACAGTGGCGAGCTTTCGCATAAGCAGGCGGACATGAGTTTTTTTTGCTTAGGAATGGCTTTAATTTGACTAGAAATGACATTACACAACTAAGAAACTCGTTTTTAAGAAAATAAGAGGTATTTAAAAAAAAAATTTTTTTTCGAAAAAATATGTTGAGCTACATATCATTCGATATAGTTTGATGCGCTGATTTCGAATACCATCTTGGTTTTTCTTCAAAGTGTAATACGGGTGCCTAACACTGGATTGACGACCTGAAACTTTGAGTTTTTGGACATTCTGTAAAATAGCCTAGGAAAGGTTTCATGAGTTTCCGCCACTACCATAAATAGGACACGTTCGTAGGAGCATTTGGTAAAAATTTGAGCTCGATCATACTTTATTTCTTTGTAGCGTTTACAATATACCAAGCGCTATGTTTTCACATAGGTTTTGGGGCTCGAGATCCTTTGTATTTTTACTATACTTTTAACTGGATTACGATAATTTTTTTTACCATAAAGTCCATAGGTGAGCAAGTTTTTTGCGATATTGTTTGCTTCTGGAATATTGTGTTATATTGCCGAACGGCTTGATTTTCTTCATTTATGCCGATTTCTGTGCCCAAGCCTTGTCAGACTCTTTTCTAGAGCTCTATAAAACTTTGAGAACCACTATTTAATGAAATGATAGATCACATATATATATATATCTATGCAAACGGTTAGATTGTGGAAAAGAATATTTTCGCATATGTCTGCCTGGCTCCCCACTGTGCACTAGTAATTTTTACTAAAATAATAATTATGTATCCGTCAAACATAATACAATGACATTGTTCTCTGAATGATGAGTACTGGGAAAATCATTACAAGTAATTATATCTTTTGTAATATTCTTCTTTCTTTTTAAATTAATATGAATTAATTCGAGTTTATTACAAATAGATAATTAAGAATTGATTTCATTAATAGAAAAAAAACAAACAATATTCAATATTTTTTGAAAATGTTCAAATTTAAATATTTCAACATGCAACCGATCTATTCTATCATGATGACTTTCTCTGTTGCGGACATTTATAAAAATGAATCTTCTCAAGAGAACTATTATTCTGCTGAGGAGTATTAAATTCTTTTATGAGGATTAAAAATTGATTATCATTATAACTTCTTTGAATTATTATTCTACTTATCGATATTTTTTTTTCTATCTTAATCATTCATACAAAAAGAAAAACAAAACAATATTTACTTGTGCACAAAACATTTCAAAATCAGCTTTATCTCGACAATAGAATCCTAATGTACAATTAGGATCCATTTTTTTTGCAGTTAATATTTTTGGTGCTGAACATGAATAACTCTAAAAGACAAATGTTCTTTGTTAAAAAACAACAAAACAAAACATTTTTATACATACCGATGTATCAAATGTATTTTCAAGTACATTTACCGTTGTTTGTATAAAATGTGGATCAAGATTAATAAAATTATCATCTTGAAAACCAATTATATAAACAGCATGACGTGGACTACCACCAATAATTCCAACTGTTTGTGATAATTTAAGAGCTGCTTTTAAATAATCTTCATAGATTAAATCAAGTTCATTTAAACCTAATCTTAATGGTACAAGAATTAATACTGATGTTGACCAACGTGTAGAACTATTTTCTATTGTAACTGAATCTAATGATGGATAAAGTGAAGGTTTTTTATTTACATTTGAATTATGATCTAATAATGGTGCACTACATAAATCATTAACATCTTGTCGATAGACTATAGAAAATAAAAACAAAAAAAAAAAACAAAAAAACAAAAGTAATGATTAAAATTTTACTAATAGCATCTTGACTAATATAAACACGAAGTACTTCAGGTATTTGTTTTGCTTGAACAGCAACTTGAATAGCTTTTTTTAAACAATGAGCAGCACTTACAGGTCCAAAAAAATCACCCGGACGGATACCATATGATGCACCAAGTTCAACAAATCTATTTGAAAAAAAAATAATTTTTCATTAAAAATTTTACATTCAAAAAAAAATATTTACTTATGAATTCCAAATGGACATTGAAAATTTGGAAAATCACCAAATAATCGAATAATATCAGTATAAATTTTTGTACGACGATTTATTCGATTTCCATTTCGAATACAATCAATTGAATTTCGTTTTGGACCTTGCAAAAAGAAAAATACATAATGAAATAAAAAAAAAAAACAGTCTTTTTAATTATAATTAATCATACATTTATCTGATACTTGAATATTTGAATAATGTGTATTAATTGTATTTGTCATATGTATAAGGAATGTTTGAGCAAGTAACATTTGAGCACAACGTATCATACAACCCCAACCACCATCTGAAGTAATTATATCTCCATTACGTGAACCAGCTAACGGTTCAAATTGTTTTCGATATGAAAAATAAATTCGTTGTGAAAATAATTTTAAAAAATTTGCAGAAGATTGTTCAGATTGTGGACGAGGTGTATCATCATATGTTGTCTCTACACAAAAAAAAATCCAATAGTATTAATTCAATTTCATCAAGAGCAGAGGTGGTAGTAGAACCTATCGGGTTCAAAATTTTTGGCTTCGAATCTGATATATTGAAACTTTTTAAAATTCGATCGAATCGTACTTTGATAATACACTATATATTTTTCAGATGATTGGAGTCCCGTGGATCCGGGATCAACCCGACGAATCCTAGGGAGCAAAGTATAAGTACTATTTTTGAATCATCTTAAGTTTCTTTCCATTCAAGATTTATTTGATGCAGAATTTCACTAAGTACGCTATTTTTGAAACATCCATATGCATTTGTTTTTTTTTTCAAATTAATCAATATATAGAAGAGTGCGCTGTGTAAATCCTCACAAAGCAAGATACTTTGCATCTAAAAAGTATGTCAATCGAGTACGAATCGTATAAGCTATTATCAGTGGAAATTTTGCCTCAAATGATTGAAGTACTATTGAGTATTAATATAAATATTGCTCCAAACTAATATCAGAACCATATGGTTATATTATTAGTTCTGTTTATTACTATTTCAATATTCTCAAGAAAGGAAAGCACATTACACAAGGTTTTGATTGATTATGATAGCTCGAAGGAATGACTACAATATTAATCTTTACACTTTTGTTTTGTTAGATGAAAACTGTATTGGATAATAGAATGAGAATTTTATATTCAAAAAAAAACAAGGAGTACAATATGAGTCAAAATGAATAACATATTTGAAATCATCATAAAAAACTTGAATTGATATATGTCTCAGAGAATTCAACTGATGCACACAGCGCATATAGTCAAAACAAAGAATTTAATTAAAATAAGGTTTATATTGTTTAGTTGCCTCTTCTTTTGTCTTAAAATAATGTTTGCATGATTTTCTAATTAAATTCTTTATTTAGACTGTACCCTCTGGGAGTACGTCAACTGAATTTCATGATAAAAGAAACCTTTGAAAGACGTATGAACTCTGTTAACTACCGATCAAAAATGGTATCTAAATGAAATTCTACTTTTGTAGCATCTTCTTCAATCTGTGAAAAATCTCAAGTTGTTTTTCTTTCTTTATCAAAAATAACCTGTAGAATGAATAAGAGATTGATATAGTTTCTTGGTTCTCAAGGTTATGCTGTAAGAAAATTTGCAAATGTTCTAGCAAATACTTTCTTCGTAAAATTCAACATCAAACAATTCATAAAAAAAAGGGTTACTAAAGATGGCTTTTATTGCAGTTTGATTGTTTGTTTTTTTTTTTATTTACCTTCTTTTCCATTATACATCTTACCAAGTAAATATATTGGTGAATCATTTGTACGAAAATTTGGTCGCATTTTAACAACCCAACCTGTAAGATAAAAATAGTTTGAAAAGCAAAACCACAAATCCAAACATACGATATTTCATATGATTAAGTGCTGCTGTCACTTTACTTTTAAAAAATTTATTATTATTTGATAATTCTTCATTTGTAATTGTGGGTCCTGAAGGTTCTGTTGATAGAATACGTTGAGAACTAGTTGATGGACTTCTAATAATTGTCATAACAAAACGATCTTCAGGAGATGGTGAATTGTTTATTTTATGATTTGGTGAAGAAATTTTAAGAAATGAAGATGAATTTATTTTTGAAGTGCTCGATGTACCAAAAGATGATTTGGATGATAATGTTGGAGATCGATCTTGTTGTGGTGACATTGGTTTAGCACAAGCAAGATCAGGTGAAATAAGATGTGAAGTTGATTGTGTTCTATACCGAGAATTAAAATACTCATTGGTATTATCATCATGAATATCAAACATCTTCGTTGATGATGATTTGAAAAACATGTATATGTAGGAAAGATTGATCAATCTTTGTTTATTATTGTTTTTCTTTTCAATTTGTATATCATACCTTCATCATACTCCTAAATATTGATTCGTAGAAAACTTAGATCGAATTAAAGAACGATTAAGAAAAAGATGTCGCTAATATTCATATGATATCAAGCAACTGATTATAGAATGACGAATGTAAAATCTTATCACTACATGAGTAAGAAAAAAACATTCCTATTACATTGATAAGATAAGATTACTATTAATTAATATAAAAGAAATAGACTAAATACATTTATCGTTCCTTCGTGTTTTTATTCTAAAGAATTTTTCGCAGACATGTCATGTTCTCAATATGGAAAATTACGACTGATGTCTGAATTAGTTTTCATGATGACATTCAGATAAAAACAAAGTCCAATATTTCAATGATACATATAAACAAATCTTTGAATTTTCCATAATACTTATGTTTTCGAAATATCCATGGCTAAATCAATCGAATAATTTATTTTTAATAGAAGAATAGTGTCCGACATATATATGCTTCGATGAAAAAAAATCTTACGATCTTACTGACAATCGGATGCCATAAGATTAATACTACACGATCTTACGAAATGATATAAATAGCTTATTGTAATATTAAATATTTATCTGCCTATGGGAGTGATTAAATACGTTCTAGTTTTGATGTTAGTTTACTTTTAGAAGTGAAAATACATCTTCTATGTAGTGATGCTGATTTACTGAAAAATGACTCGATAGATAATTTAATCAAATAGAACAAGGTATTCTTTTGTTTAAATTGTGTATATTAACGATCAATTAACGAGAATAAGGTGTGTTTTTTTTTTAATTCACACATTTTCTTGTCAAAAATATCGATTTTGAGATTTTTATGCGGTTGGATAGTCTTTGTTGTTTACTTTCGAAAATAGTACTATTTATCAGAATTCGGATGTTATATTACACAGAATTAACTTATGATGCAAAACAATCAGGAAAAATGAATGTTTTTGAAAATATTAGTTATCGTTGCCTTTTTGAACTATTTCTGAAAATTTCCTATAATGAAGAATCTAATAAAAATGTGTGAAATAGCAAGTGCTGAAAGTCTTCGAACATGTGAAATCCTACCCTGTATTTCTTTTCCTACCAATGTGCATTTAATTCTGTAATTATTTTGACAGTATTATGTTAGAAGAAACGTCTTGTGACATAAATATGCTTTTTCTTCTCTTTCTTCGGCTTCATTTTTTTCACGTTTATAATGATTTCTTTCTTCTTCTTATTCTATTTAAGCAGCTGGTATTACTGATGTGGGTGTTAATGTATGGCATTATTATTCACGCCCACACATATCAACACGTCACATTTTTTTTTCTCTTCTAAATTGTAGGTTTTAGACGCTGTACAAATACGTACAAGTCTTTGTTTGATTCGCCATAGTCAATAAGACATGGTAGATTATGGTCAATTTATTTTCTCTCATGTTATACTCAATAGAAGCATTGATTTTTCAATTATAACCTACTTGTCTGGGACACGCAGAAAACTACTTTGTGACCTTTACTATAAGAATAACTATTGAAGGATTGAATATTTTACACTGAAATTTTTACTGTAAGCTTTCTAGATCCTAGTCCATTTTTTTAAAAACTTTCAGCTAAATCAATTGTTCTGGGAGGAAAGTAGATTTCCTACGAGGACGGGGTTAGTTTAAATTATTTTTCATGTTGGATCGTTATAATAGTTAAATTCAATAGATATATGTTTTTTTTTGATGCCGTCTGAGCATATTTTTGTTTTAATTTAATTCATAAATGAAGATACATATGTTAGTAAAGATAAAAGACTTTCTTAAGAAAACAAGATGATAGAAACAGAAAGTAGGGGAAAATAAATCAGGTATGCAATGTTGCAGGAAACCTTGGGAAATTATACATGAATCATATAAGATCTAATAATGGAATTGTTTGGCTTGAGTATCAGAGGTAAAATTGAATTTTTGCCAGGTTTCTTTTTTTTTTGATTAGGCACAAACCTATGGAATAATTTTGCTTTATTTAAAAGTAAATTCTAAGTTTTATTTTCATTATAAGAATATAGTTTGTTACTTTTAAGTTGACAAAATATTCATATTCTGATGTATACCCAAATGACTCTTCCTTTGCTGATATCTGAAAGCGTTTTGATAAACAAACAAATCAAAATTTTTTATTTTTTGAGCATCAAATTGCGAGAGAAGACATTATTCTATCCTACAGCAAAATACCCAAGTTAAAAAGTCTTTCATTATTTTTGTTTGGAAATGAACTCAATAAAACTTAACAATATAATATACATACTTAAAATATTCCCTATGACTCAGGTCAAATTCGAAGATAAAATAAACATAAGCTTAAAAATCTTCTCTTCTTTTTTAGTCGACGCTTCCTAACATAAACCAGATTTCAATAGAGCTCTACAACTCATTGAACTTACATGATTTTTAATTGAGTACACTAGCGGATTCTATAACTTTCTAGATCCAACTAGACTTAAATTAAACTAAAACATAGTTTAATAGAAATATATAATATCAGTATTTGAAGTACTTTAACAAAATGGTTTAAGGAATAAACACTTGACTATTCCATAGAAAGGCATACAGCTACAAAGAAAAATTAGAATATTCGACTGCTGAATATGTCCATATGTGAACATTTTCATTTGTAAGCGACATGATTTTTTTGAGAAAAATTGCTTATATCTCTAGACTTGGACATTTCATTTAGCTAATTTTTATATAATAGATGTATATTGAGTTGAAAACTCAATAGTGCAGTTAATCTTTACGTAAAGCCTTTTTAAACATGATTAAGCTTTTCAAAAAGTTGGATTTATTTGTTGTTAACGACTTGAGTGAGTACGAGTATACAAAACGAAAAATTCTTGTGTAACTAAATGAGAAATCGAAAAACAAATTCTAAATGATACAACTTTTTCTGATAGATTACAAGATTATAGAAACACAAAAGGTTTCCTTTTCGGGGCAAGACTAGACTACTGCATGATCAGCTTTTTTGAAATCTGATGCTGCTGAAAATTTCACTCTCAGATATAGTCTATGGCATGAAGTCTTTTGAATTTTTTGGATTTTTTTCGTCACACTTCGAGATAGTTATTCGCTAATTAACTTTAACTAGATGTGAGTTGAACGTGCACAATAATTTTACACACATCTCATGGAAAAAGCACTTATTCAAAAAAAAAAATATCCTATCCTACCTCCGTCATCGCTGATTTTACCCATATGTTCCCATGTCTTCTCGTCTAATGACAACGTCAATTAGAAAACAGCCAACTCAGATATTCTGATTTATTTACCGAGAAAAAATATTAACTAACTATCTGATTATCTTACTGACTGATAAGAGTACTCTGCATACATACAGTGCGCAGACGAATAAATACAAAATATATATGAAAAAGTTCGAAACGATATATACATATCAAGAAACTTGGAAAATTCTGTCATATCAACAAATTATGTAATTGATAGTCTTGTGATCAGTTGGAGAAAATATGACAATACAATCACAGGAAAATCGTTTGAGTACAACAGATGTTATATGTTATCTTTTATTAACAAACAATTAAAAACTTACCGTCGATTATTTTCAATATGTAAAGAAAACCAATCAACAATTTTAATACACACATTTATCATTGTATGAAAGTATACCGACTAAACTTTAAATCATTCATGTTGACAAATTCTTTTCTCTCCCCCCCAAAAAAAAACAAAATCGAACTTAAAATATTCTAATACACATTGCCAATTCTATAGAAATGTCTATCTGTTTTATATCTTATCTTGTTATTAGCAAGTAACTATAATAATTCACTGTTTCTTTTCCTACTTCCGTATATTTAATGATCAACAATAATTGTATCAATTATTTACATTTCTTGGATGAAATAATACGAAACATAGTCCAGTTACAATTAATGCCTTCCACTCCTATTTCTTCCCATTATTATTTATAATATAATTAGTAAATGAAGAGTGAATATCTATCTATTGCATCCTTAATAAAAAGCAATATTCCCAATTGCGTGAGTGAAATTTTTATTCATTTGTAAAATAAAACAAATTTACATTATACTTTATTCTGGTTGTTTATCGATTATCTCCTGTTGTACAGGTTCAACAATAGATTCTAATTGTTGTCTTCTCCATTCTTTTAAATATGTTATAGTTTTTTGTTCAAATCGATCAACAATTAAAAACATTTGAACAGCTCCATCTTCATAACCAACAACTAATGCTCGTCCATCATTTGTTGCTATTGCTTGTCGAACTTTTGCTGGACATCTCATATCAGCTATTTGTCGACCATCAATAGAACGAAAAATACGTATTGTTCGTTTACCTTTATGGTAATAAATAACATGATTATTGGTTGGCGTAAAAAATGTTATTACATCAAATACACCTTCAGCAACTTTACCAATTAATGTACGAACTACTTTTCCATTTCGAAATTCAAATATTTCAAGACCACCACGTGTTGGAGCATATAAACCATATTTACCATCAGATGATATTTGACCACTCCATTTTGGTAATATTAAATGAACCTAGAATTAAGAAGATCATAATCTTTGACTAAAATTATAATTTAGAAATTCTTAAATGAACGTATGTTTTTTTTCTTAACTTGTTTCCTTTGAGTCGAGTGTGGTTGTGACGAACGATCTAAGTGTTATTGTTATTTTTCCTCACCTACAACTCCATCGGTTCCACAAATTTTGAGACTCAGTTCTGGTCTAATTGTACTTTCATACTTTGAATGAAATGTTCTAATCAAAGCAGGATAGCTGTTCCCAAGATACGAGATACTTTTTTTTCGATTTTTTTCCCATTCGGTGACTAATGCAATCCACAATCATGTAGAAAAAAAGTCTCAATTGTACATTTTGTACGGATGTAG